ATACCCAATCAAGGTAATTAAATTAATTAAATTAATCTGAAACTCAGATTAGTAACTACTTCAAAAATCTGCATGCCAATAAATTGGAGAATCCAGAAGAAATGGATAGATTCCTAGATACATATGACTTACCAAAAATGAAACAATAAGATATAAAAATTCTAGTAATCCAGTAACAAGCCATGAAATGGAGGCAGTAGTAAAACAAACAAACAATAACAACAACAACAAAAACTGCCATTTAAGAAAAGCCCAAGATTCGATATTCACTGTTGAATTCTACAAGAAGTTCAGGGAAGACCTAAGATCAATACTTCTCAAACTCTTTAATGAAACTGAAAAAGAAGGAGTACTGCCAAACTTATTCCTGGAAAGTAGCATTACCCTGATTCCAAAACCAGACATAGACTCAACTAAAAAAGAAAATTGCAAACCATGTTCTTTAATGAACATAAATGCAAAAATTCTTAACAAACAGACTGCTATAGCTCATATATCACGACCAAGTAGGCTTCATCCAAGATATGCAAGGATGATTCAGTAATGTAAATCAACAAATGTAGTATATTGCATAAACAGAAGCAAGGACAAAAATCATAGGAGTCATCTCAATAGACACAGAAAAAGCTTTTGACAAAATCCAACATCTATTCCTGATAAAGACATTGAAGAAAATATGTACAGAAGAACTTTGTTTCAACCTCATAAAAGCTATTGGTGACAAACCTACTGCCAACATCAAATTAAATGGGAAAAAACTGAAAGCTTTTCATTCAAAATCAGGAACAAGACAAAGACGTCCACTATCATCATCCTGTTTAATCTAGCACTCAAAACATTAGCCAGAGCAACCAGGTAAGAGAAAGAAGTAAAAGGGATACATATAGGAAAGGAAGAAGTTAAACTATCCTTATTACATGATTGTTTAAATAAAAATCCCAAAAAATTCCACCAAAAGACTCCTAGAACTAAAAAAGTCAGCAAGGCAGGAAGATACAAAATCAAAATAGCATTCCTGTATACAAATAATGAACCCACAGAGAGAGAAATTAAGAAAACAATGCTACTTACAATAGTATTGAGAAAAATTAAATATCTAGAAATAACCCAACCAAGGAAGTGAAAGAAGTCTATACTAAAAATCATAGTACTCCACAAAAGGAGATTGAAAAGACTATCAGAAAATGGAAAGATGCCCCCGTTCCTGGATAGGCAGAACCAATATTGTCAAAATGGCTATACTACCAAAAATGATATATAGATTTAACACAATCCTAATCAAAATACCAATAGCATTTCTCACAGAACTAGAAAAAAATAATTCTAAAATTCATTTGGAACCAGAAGAGACCATATTAGCAAAAGCAATCCTAAGCAACAAGAAGAAAGCAGGAGGCATCACAATCCTGGATTTTAAGTTACATTACAAAACTATAGTGATAAAAATAGCATGTTTTTGGCACAAAACCAAACATGGGGATCAATAGAACAGAATAAAGGATACAGAAGCAACCCCAGGCACATTCTGTCATCTGATCTTTGACAAAGGGACCAAAAAAGTACACTGGAGGAAAGACATCCTCTCTAACAAGTGCTGGGAAAACTGTAGACGTGCAGAATATTGAACCTAGACCCATGTCTCTCATTATGTACTAAAATAAAGTCAAAGTGGATCAAAGATCTAAATATACAAACAGAAATGCAATCTGCTAGATGATAAAATGGGTAAAACTCTTCAAGATACAGAAGTAGGCAAGGGCTTTCTGAATAGAACCCCAGTTGCATGAGAAATAACATCAAGAGCCAAAAAATTAGATTATATCAAATTAAAAATCGTCTGTACAGTAAAGGCAACAACCAACAGAATGAAGAGACAACCTACAGAATGGGAAAACATTTTTGACAGCTACTTCTCTGACAGAGGACTAATATCTAGAATATATAAAGAACTAAAAAAAATTAGATCCAAACCAAAATGGGTTCATGTAATGAATAGCCACTTCTCAAAAGTACAAATGGCCAATAAATTTATGAAAAAAAAAGTTAAACGTCTCTGGCCATTACAGCAATGCAAATTACAGCAATGCCAAGATTCCATTTTACTCCAGAAAGAATGGCTGCTATCAAGAAATCAAATAATAACCAATGCTGGCAAGGCTGTGAGAATAAAGGAACGCTTCTGAATTGCTGGTGGGAATGTAAGCTAGTACAATCACTGTGGGAATAAGTATGGAGATTCCTCAAGAAGCTAAAACTAGAAATCCCATTTGACCCAGCTATTCCCCTTCTAGGTGTCTTCCTGAAAGAGTTAAAGACATCATATTATAATGATATATGCATACCCACTTTATGGTAGGGCATTTCATAATAGCTAAATCTTGAAAGAGGCCTATATGTCCAACATATGAATGGATAAAGAAAATGTGGTGTTTATACACTATAAAATATTATTCTACCATAAAGGATACATTTGAATCATTTGTAGGAAAATAGATGCACCTTCAGGCCATAAAGTTAAGTGACTAAATCAGACTTAAATAACCTTAAATATTGCATGGCTTTTCTTAGCCCAATATAAATAATTTAAAGAGTGAAATAGAAAATACATAATAAGAAACTGAGAGATAGATCTTTTGCAAATGGAAAGGGAATTGAGAGATGGATGATGGTGGGAGAGAGGGAAGGAGACATGGAGGTATTAAGATGTGTTATGTATGTGTTCTAACTCCCATAATGAACGTAATCATTTTGGACTGCAATCACATACTAATAAAAACATAAAAAATTAGAAGATTTAAAACAAAGAATTTGTAAACACTACCAAAAGCCAGAAAAGTAAGCAATTATATGAGACTAGAATTACCTTAATAGATACTAAAATCAGACCAAGACATGGTAAGAAAAAATGATCTACAGAGCAACATCTTTTGCGAATGCAGTTGCAAACATTTTCAACAAAACACTAGCAAACCAAACACATGTGAAAGGCTGTGCACCATGGCAGATGTACTTTATTCCAAGAATACAAGTTTTAACATCTGAAAATCAGTATTGTATGTCATATTAATAGAATAAGCAACAAAAGGCCCATGTCATTTCAATAGATGAAAAAGAGCACTTGACAAAATTTCAAACTTCCTCATGATAGAGTACACAACAAAGATTAGAGTGAACTTCAGCTTGATAAAAATCTGTGAAAACTCCAGAGCTGACATCAGACTTATAGTGAACAACTAAATGATTTCCCTTAAGATTAGGAACAAGAAAAGCACGTATGTCCATTCTTGCCACCTCTTTTCAAAACTGTGCTGCACTGAAGGTTCTAGCCAAGAAAATGAAAACAAATAGGCACTTAGATTTAAAAGAAGTGAAACTATCTCTATCGATGGCATGATCTTATGTAGCAAAATTTCTAAGGGAATCTATTAAAATCTGTTAGAATAAATGAGCCCACCAGATTGTAGAGTATAAGAACAATATATAAAAATAAATTGTATATCTATATACTACCAACAAGCAGTCTGAAAATAAAATTAAGAAAGTAATTCCATTTATAATGTCATCAAAGGAATAACATACTTACATTTGGTACAGAACTTAGATTTAGAAGTACAAAATTTAACTTTCTGAAAATTACAAAATGTAGTTGAAAGAAATGAAAGAAAGTCTTCTTTCAAATAAAGAGAAAGATATTTCAGGTCCATGGATCAGGAAATAGTATTGTTAGTATAACAATACCACGCAGATCAATGTACACATTTAATGTCATCTCCATCATAATTTGAACTGGCTTCCTTGCAAAAATTAAGATTTCCAAGGATATTTGAGCAAAACTATCCAAAAAGAGTAGGAAAACTCAAATTCTTTTTTTTTATTTGAAAACTCCAATTCTTATCAAAACACTACAAAGTTATAGTAACTCAGAAAGTGTGGTACTCGCAGAAGGATACATGACCGGGCAGCAGGAAAGAGAGAGAGGTGTGTGTCGGGGGGAGATTTCAAAGGAGGAGAGAGGGAGATAAACCCAGGCCATACTTCCAGACACCCACCTCCTCAGATCAGACCAGGCTTCACCTGCCAACAGCATATTTAGCTATAAACGCATCAGGAGACTAATCTAGTGATTAATATCATGCTTCCAAGATCCAATCACCTCCCCAAAGCCCCGCCTATGAGTGCAAAGTCTTTGGGGGGCATCTAGATATATAATACATAACAATGTTGAATTATGTAATGAGTTTTTAGATGTGACACCAAAGGAAACAAAGAAAACCTAATCTAATTAAAATTTGAGGCTTTAGTGTTTCAAAGGGCTCCATCAGAAAGGTGAAAAAACGACAGAGATGGGAAAAATATTTACAAATCATTGGTAAAGGACTTGTGCCTAGAATATATATACAAATCTTACAACTCAATATGAAAAGACAACTCAGTTAAAAATAGGCAAAAGGTCCGAATAGATATTTCCCTAGAGCAGCTATAAGTAAGCCAATAAGCACAGGGAGGGGTGGTCAGCTTCCTTGGTAGGGAAATGAAAATCAAAAGCACAGTGACATACCACTCCATGAACACTAATATGGCTGTAATAAAAAAGATAATTGCAAGGGCTGTTGAGGATGTGAAGTTGGAACCCTCACACATTGTTAACAGGAATTAAAAATGATGCAGCCACTTTGGCAAACAGTCTGGCAATTACCTTCAGAAGATAAACCAAGTTACCATCTTACTCATCAGTTCTATTCCTAGGTAATACTAAAGAGAAATGAACATATAGGTCCACATAAAAATGCGTACATGAATGTTCATAGCATTATCCAGACTAGGTAAAAAATAGAAACAACTCATGTGTTCATTAACTGATAGCTTAACAAAACGTGGTACATCCACACTGTGGGATATAACTACAGAATGAAACGAAATGAGGTACTGATATATGCTACAACATGAATGAACCGTCAAAATGTTTGCTAAGTGAAAGAAGCCAATCACAAAAGCCCACATAGTGTATGATTCCATTTATGTGAAATGTCCAGAATAGGCAAAGCCATAGAAATACAAAGTAGATTCATGGTTGCTTAGGGCTGTGACAGGAATGGATTAGCTGGAGGTACGGGATTTCTTTTGGGGGTAATAAAAGTGTTCCAAAATTGATTGTGGTCATAATCACTCAACTCTGAATATACTAAAAACTACTAAACCATACAGTTACAAATAGGTAAATTTTATAGTATGAATCATATCTCAACAGAACTATTATTAAAAACAACGCTATGCCCTGTGCACAAAGCTTTCCTCAAGATGGCTATGAATTGTCTTGGGAATGGGACTTGTCCCCACCGACCCTCTCCCTTTTAAGAAGCATTCATGAATTCTTCGTAGACTCCTGACTTCTTTGACGGTGCAGAAAGACAGAAGAGGGGATGACATCACAGAACAGCAGGCAGCCTTCAAAGGAGCTTCAGGCATCCCGAGCTTTGGAATGCTCTCCACCCATTTCTTCCTTTGGGATCTTTCCTCAGCCTTCTGCACCATCTCTCCTGTCCCTCAGGCTATCTCCCTAACAACTATCCTTCTGTGTCTGCAGAGCTGTTTAAAAAATCGTTTGTGGCTCCGATTCTCTCTTCCGTGCCCCCTGAGCTCAAGTTCTACCCAGGGAAATTTAGCAAAATATTTCTTTAGAAAGATAAATACCTCCCTAAGAGGAATTCTATTATCACCTGTTAAGGCATTAGTGCATTTTTTGTTAGCTTGTTCTCCTTTTGTAGTACTGGTGGTTGAACCCCAGGAAGTGGTGAATTGTATCTCCCGCCCTTTTTGTTTATTTACTTTTTGAGACAGGATCTTGCTAAGTGCCCAGGCTGGCCTTAAACTTTCGATCCTCCTGCCCCAGCCTTCCAAATATATGCTTTTATGGGGAAAAATAATTTAATGAACTTCAGGTATCCATCACCTACACCGTCAATAATTACCTTATCTTTTCTTTTTTTAAAAAAATACCAATCTTATTTTTACCTAAGATAAATTCGTCTCAGTTATTCTTATTTGGGTAATTTTAAAATAAACCCACCACTGGGGGTGCATCCCAGCGGTAGAGAGCCTGCTTGACATGCAAGCAGTCCTGGGTTGGAGCCCCAGCGCTACACAAACACACAAAACGCCACTTAAAATAAAAATACAGATAATGTTGTCCGACTAAGTCACAGGTCATCGCTTTCAGAACCTCTCTTCTGTCCCCGTGCTGCGAGTGGAGGAAGATAGATGCTTGCAAACCCCATAGCCTGTAGGGGCTGAAGGTGGGCGCAGAAGCGGTGAGTTCGGGGCGGGGGGTGATGGGGAGATGGTGGCAAGAGGAGGGGTGGGCAACGGTGGGCACGGAGGGCAGGGGCGACAGCACGCGCGGGCCTAGAGCGCAGTGTAGGACGCGGAGTCCTGCGGCGCCCCCTCGCGGG